CGGCAGGGGGGGGGGGGGGGGGGGGGGATGTTGGTGCAAGATGGTGTGTTGTAATAGCTACTACAGACTGAGGGAAATCTAGACATGGGGGGAAGTAGGGGGATACGTGGCAGAGGTAGGGCTGCAGTGTGTGTGCCAGGAGGAACTATCTAGCATCACCAAAACCTTAATGCTCTTGGTGCTGCTGGTGAGAGAGAAGCCAGCTGTCTGGCATTATGCTCCATATATGCACACACACATTTTCTTTTTGGGGAGTCTCCTTTTTTGTCCTTTATTTTTGGTTAGTGACTCTAGAGAAAATACTTAGTCTTCAGTTACTAAAAATACCTATCAAACAGTAACATGAACAAGAAGCTACATGAATAATGACGTTGCTCTTGTGCAGGGTCACATCTTAATCATACTTGATTAAGGCAGTTGATGACTGGGGAAGGGGCTAAACATCTTGCACTGACCCCGGTGTATGTGTATGGACTGATGCTGCAATAACACGATTAAAACAAGTTTGTTTAATAATGTAGGAATAAGGGCAATCCTGTATGTGTGGCTTCCACTTGAGTCTGATCACACATCTCTATGCCCAGTTGCTGCTGTACATGGTGATCTTTAGATGGGAATTCCAGTTTCCTCTCACGTGTGGTTTAGGGCCCAGGATTACATCTGTTAAACTTCGCTTGACTTTCCTCTTTGGGGGATGGAATTGGAGAGGGGCTGATTGGCTATAAATAGATGTCTAGAGTGGGCTTTGAACAAATCTTGGTGTTAGTTATGAACACAGTGTCAAATTGCTTGGTTGTCAGTAATGTAATAATGTTTCTTTTTATTTCTACTGTAGTGGTTGGCTTTTAGCACCGTCACCAAGCTCTGTTTAGAAATGCCATAGAGGAACTTGATATTTTTGGTACCTGGCTTATAAATACTGTGTGCGCCTCACTTTCCCCTATGCATTTAAGTACAGGCAGTCCCCGACTTACGTGGATCCGACTTACGTCGGATCCCTAGATACGAACGGGGCGAGGCAACTCCCGCACATGCGCAGCAGCATTCCCGGGGCTCGCTCACCTGGGTCCTAGGATCCTCCTCCTCCTCGGGCCAGCTCCGACTGGGGTCCCGCAGAGCTGCCGGGCAGAGGAAAAGTGCCTCCCCATGCCCGCTGCCCCCCCCTGCCAGCAACAGGCTGCCCCCTCCCCTGAGCAACAGGCTGGCGAACAGCAGACAAAAGCAGCCTCTCCGCCCCTCCTCCCCCTATACATGCTGGGCTCCCTGGGCAAACAAAGACTCCACCAAAACAAACAAAGTGCTGGCCTCATTGTGTTAGCAAAAAAAGGACCCTCCTCCTAGAACCCTGGGTGGTGTGTGGAAATAAAGCTATTAGCTCAAAGCATGGTGCAGAGCTGTTTGGTATTTGATGAGTTACTCTTTTAGTCCTGAGTTTGTCACAGGGACAGAAATAGATGTGAAATCTTCTGAACAGGGGAACAGACAGCAAAACAAACATTAGAGGGGAGTTAACCTTTCCCTATGCTATCCAAAACTAAAAAAAATGTTTGGCTAGAGTTTCCCCTACAATATGTACCAGTTCCGACTTACATACAAATTCAACTTAAGAACAAACCTACAGTCCCTATCTTGTACGTAACCTGGGGACTGCCTGTAGTCACTTCATCTGCCCATGCCAGAATGGCTCTTGAAAAGAGCTACAGAATGTCAACAGGCTGATATTACCATCTTGTAGTTATACCTTAGTAGCAATTCAAAGCTTCCTGTTCAGGAGCTTTTAGTAGGTCTGCCTTGGAAGAAGAGATGATGTCCTTAACCTTTCCTTGCAGCTGTTGCCACCTTGTTAACAAGTCTTTTTGCCTTCAGTAACAAATAGAATTGCTTAAGCATTCTATTTGTTTGACTTTGGTGGAGAATTTCTCTTCAGTCTTTAATTACAAAAGCATGCACAACTTTTTTAATTGGATGGACGTACTCCATTGCACGTGGTTTGGATAACCCCTCTTCCCCCCTGCTTGTGCTGAAATAATCATCCTGGGCATTAAGCTCTCTCAATAGTTGCCCAGGAAATAAACTTGTCTTTACCTTCCTCTTCTTCCCCTAGTTCAGATTCATGGGTATGTCTCAAGAGCCTTTAGGATAATTAGGATGATTTGCTATTGACAGATTTGTCAACTTACTTTTTTCTGGGGGTAATCTGGTACTGTCTGAGAAAGATAGCCACCAGATTCTTTTCTTTAACAATAAAAGCTTCAGTATCCTGTTTCCCTGTGGCGATGCAGCTAGACTGAATTAAATGATTATTTTGAGTTCAGCACTGTATTTTTTGTGGTTTTGGATTACATTTAAAGTTAATAGATTGTGCTTTGAGAGGACTAGCTTCCAAAGGGCAAGATTAATTCTTAGACACTCTGGCTATGTCTACACTGGCAGCTTCTTGTACAAGAACAGCCGTTCTTGCGCAAAAACTTGCCTGCTGTCTACACTGCATGAGCATTCTTATGCAAGTAAATTTACAGTATCGCGTTGTAAAATAGGGCTTCTTCCGGAAGAGTTATTCCTTTCCCCATGAGGAATAAGCCTTCTTGCACAGGAGCACTTCCACAAGAGGGCAGTGTAGACAGGCAACATGAATTTCTTGCGCAAGAAGCCCTTATAGTTAAAATGGCCATCAGAGCTTTCTTACGCATGAGAGCGTCCACACTGCCATGGATGCTCTTGCGCAAAAGCACATGGCAGCGTGGACGTGCTCTTGTGGAAGATTTTTTGCAAAAGAGTTCTTGCGCAAGAAGCCGCCAGTGTAGACATAGCCAATATGTTTTCATTTAAATGAATGTGTGAAGCTGGACGTTCATTAATACACTAAGAAACAAGCAAAGAGCCTGTTTCATAGAAGGCCTAACGTATCTGCTGGCAAGAAATGCTCCCTACAGAATATGGGTAAAATTGGTGGGTGCCACTGCCTAATCCAATATGCCTGAAGTATAACAATCACTCACCCCATAGAGTAGAATGCCATGCAGGGCTAGAGGGAAAGTACCTCCATAACAAAAGAGGTAGGCTATAAACAGCCACCATAACACCTCCAGTGACACCTCCACTAGTTGGGAGAAGGGGCCTAAGACACCATTATTTATCCTCAGTGTTCAGAGAGCCTAGCCCATCTCCAACGTAAGCCTATGGTCTCTCTGAGGAAAGCAGCAGCTGCAGTGATGCTGTTTCAGTTCCTTAATCTGAAGTGAAAACTTGCAGAAGAGGCCAACTGTTTGTTTCAGCTGCACCTACTATGGCATAAAGCAGTGTTTCTCAACCAGTGGTACGAGTACTCTTAAAGGTACTTGAGAGAAGTCTGGGGGGTACATCAACACAAATGAAACTGAGAGAAAACCGAATTTGTTAAGTTTTACAGCGCTTTATTATTTGTGTATTTTTTACACCCAAAAATTTCATCACCCACCCAGGTACAATTAAGTTGTTTAAACAAATGTGTTGCAATGGTAGAAAAAAAATTGTGGGTCTGAAAACTGTAGGTAGTAGAAGGGGTACTTTAAAAAAAAGTTGAGCAACTCTGGCATAGAGGACCCAGATGATCTATTCATCAACTTAGTAACCTCCAAACCACAAGTAGAATGGGATGATCATTTTAGGGTTGCTAGAGAGACCTACCTCTCCTACTGCACCTGAATTCCTCTTCTATTGCTATGGCAAAACACTCAAGATCAGGGCTGTAGCACATTTTCTAGCCCTAACCTTCCAACTCTGTACTAAGCACAAGGGTAAAGAGAGGTTGATATTTTTCTGCTTCCTTAAAGGAAGTTCAAAGGGTCATTTGGCCCAATGAACTAACTAACTGGCTAAGGACAGGAAACTTACACCTACTATTTACACCTATCTAGTGGTAGAGAATTTTGGTAAATCTGACTGACAGGGGTGGCTAAGGTGAAATGTCATATCTACCTTAGACAACTTAGGAAATGAAACCCTGTATAATGATTCTGAGACACAGTGAGCCCAACAGAAGGAAAATACTTTCTTCCATAAATGGACTAAGTGTAATTACTACACCAATGATACTAATTCATGGAGAAAAGCCTCATAAATAATTTATTAATAATTCAACATTAAGAAAATTGTATCTTTAGTAATTTAACTTGACTCAAAAAAAAAAAAAGCTTTGCCTGTGGAAACAAAATGTAAAGAAAGAGCATTTCAGTTATTTGTTCCACTGATTAGATACTTATAAAACAAAAGTCGTGACTGAAAGTTATAAACCAATAGTTTATCTAAATGAATTCTTGATCCTAGTTAACAGATGTTCACATGAGAAACTACTATTAAAAAGACCTAATTCTGCAATTAGACCCAAGCAAAAAGACTTCAGCTTGACTCCATAAAGATAAAAGGGCCTGTATGTGTGGATTTGCTTGCAGGACTGGGCACAAATTTAATAGTAAACTGGCCTCACTGTTGGCCCCTGAAGGAAAAGACAAGCTGAATGGCTGAACCTCACGAATAGTGAAGTCAATGTGAAGTCTGTCACATGCTGGCACATCATGAGAGGAAGGAAACCCTTGCGTTGCAACTGAGTGTGCTGAGTTCTTCTGGGGATAAGATAGAGGCACTTAGTCTTCAGGGATGTCACGTCTGCCTCTTTCAGGAGTGATAAAATCAGTTAAAAGTATGTAGGGGAAAAAAAGTATTGTGGATTTTCCTTCAAAACTATGTTTCCTCTTCTTCCTCATCTGAAACATCAATATGTTTATAGAGCTTCCAGGCCTTTAAATTGCAGTTTTTAAGGATTGCTCCTAGCTGCTTCCCAGGCCCCACTTCATATGTATAAGGAAACTCTACTCCTTGTTTTCTTTCATATATAGCATGCATAGTCTGTTCCCACTTAACAGGTGAAACAAGCTGCTTTACTAACAAACGCTGAATATGTTTTGAATGCATATATTTTTTGCTATCTACGTTTGAATAGACACAGATGAATGGTTTCTGTATCTCAACTGATTTTAGAACGTCAGCCAAAGGCTCTGTTGCTGATTCCATAAGTCTTGTATGAAAAGCACCACTGACTGGAAGCATTTTTGTTCGCTTAAAATTATATTTTCGGGAATTCTCTTGCAAGAACTCCAAAGCCTGAAAGAAAAAACCCCCCAACTAATTATTCACTTTACACAATTGTGGGCAAAATTATATTAATCCAATTTGCCTTATTTGGAAAAAAAAACCACCCACACATACTAAACTCATCCTCCCCCACAGACCTAAATCAGACAGTTCATAGAAAAGTACTACTTGTCCACAACATATGATTGGACAAGGACTGCAGCCATATAGCTGCAAACCATATAGCTTGTTTGATGTGTTAATATTGGCAAAAGTTGAGCCAAAACTGTTAACTTCCTACAGATCGACAGAATGGTAAATTATTAAAATGTGTTTAGATGCTTATTTTAAAGTAATACCTGCAAATGTCCTGCAATGACTCTGCTATCTGGAGACAGGTAATTTGAAACTTCACACACAGGACTTTCTATACCCAATGATTTGCAGTGTTCACGAGCTTCCAGGCAGGCAAAGTTGTAATTTGACTCACGGTGACCAATAACTGATAGCATCCCACTTGGCACAGCTTCTGATGCCTTTTGCATAGCTTCAGCACGCACTTTCACTGCATACAAGGCTAGAGACAGAACAAAAATTCTAAATAATCTTAAACCTCAGAGAAAAATGGTTAAGATCATTAAAATACATTGTATTGTAGGTTTTAAAGATTGCAAATAATAACATTAATAAATTGTATTTATCCCTCATATATACACACACACACACACACACACACCTCTTTGCTGTACAGAAGTCCAACAGTGAATACTTTTTAATAAATAATAATAACATGCTTTTCTATGTTAAATTACTGGTAATTTAACAGATATATAATTTACACTTCTCATGGTGTTGAAGTCAGTAGTCAGATGTTCTAAAAATATGGAGTTTAGCATTTCTGAATTTGATGGTGGCAAGTTTAAGACATACAAAAATATTTAACTTTATGTACAAAATTTTAATTTTCACAAGTGATCACATTTTAAATTTGTTTTAATATTAATATAATCCTCTTTTATGGTAGTAAAATACAAGTTTCCTAGGCTTATAGTAAAATTAGTTTATTTATATTTATAGCTTATTTAATTTTTTTAAATAAATAAAGTTAACATCTTAATAGTCTATGACAAGGTGAATCAATAACTAAGCTAGCTTTAAACGTAGGGACCAATTTTTTTCAAAATTTTTTCATTCATACGCAACAGGATCAGGGGCTTAAAATATGTTTATTTTATTACTATGTATATAATATGTCGTTTCTACTTACATGTGAAATATATATTAAGTAGTTTAGACAAACTGAATTTAGAAATTTATATTCAGAAGAAAAGGAAGAGAAGCAGCAAGGAAAAGTTGTCATAGATGAGTGTTTTGGAAGGGTAGTATGTGTGTGTACAGCTGGGATGGGCAAAGGGGCTGGCAGTTCTCTCTAGGCCGGGGGGCGCACAGGGGCAAAGACATCACATGCTCCCCCACCCCCAGCCCAATCAGGGTCTGTGGGAGAGGAAACATGGAAGGGTCATGGTCCTGCCCCTTCCATCAGAGGTCACGCCCCTTCTAGGGTGGGCCAGGGCCACTTCAAAAATTAGTGAAGTGGCCCCCCATCTAAAATTATCCCCGGGTGGGGGAAGCTACGCAGAAATAGGATTCCTAATTTCTTTAAGTACCTTCTGTATAATCTAAGGCTCCAGCAAAAACCAGAGCTGCAAATTCTCCAACGCTGAAGCCAGCAGCTGCAACACAATTCTCAATTACCTGAAATGATAAAGCCAATAAAAACCAACAAATTAGACCATATCAAGATGTCCTGAGGGGAAAAAAAAGAACTCAAAATTTCAGAAGTAACCATGTCATTTTTGGATGCCCAACTTTAGCAACTTGGGCCTGATTTTCCAAGGTGCTAAGTGCACACATTTCCCATGGACTTTCACTCAGAACCAGTACAGGCACATCATATTTTCACTTAAAAAAAGAGAAACCTAAAGTGAGGCCTCACTTTGGAAGATTTGGACTTACATGTGCAGAACGATCCCCAGGTGACACAACCCTTGACTAGCTCAGGGAGGGATCTTCTTTAGTGCCCAATTTACACCATAGGCATAGCATCTTAAACTCCCTCCTGCTAACCTTCATATTGCACATGTTAGGGTGCATCTACACAGCAGCCTACATTCAAATTAAATATGCAATAAGATATGCAATTTGCATAGTGCATATTTCAAATTCTACTTCAAAATAGCTTATTTTGAAATTTGGCACCTAGCGCATTATTTTGAAATGTGGTGCTATTTCAAGCCTTTCCTTATGCCTATTTCAATATTTCAAAACAAGTGGCCTGTGTAGACACTGGGGTAGCTATTTCAGGATACCTTCAGTATCCCACAGTTGCCATGCTGTGTAGCAGCCATACCAAAAGCAAGGCACCTGCCTACTGTGCCTAACTGGAAATACAGCTCTGGTCCACCCAACAAGGCATGCAAACCCTGGCGATGGATACCCCTGCCTAGAGAGAGCCGTGCTGTCCTGGGCCCCTGTGCATCGACCCCCGCACCTCGCGATGAGCCTGGACCTGTTGCTAGTGCCAGGAATGTGGAGGGGAGTCCCCCGGCCGGGC